TGAAGCAAAGCTAGCTGCTGAAAGAGAATTAATTGAGAGATTAGCCAAGGAAGCTCTTGATAGAGAAGCTGAAAGGTTATCTAAGGAAGCTCAAGATCAAGCTGAGAGAGAGGCTGAATTGAAAAATCAAGAAGAAGCTCTGAAAGTTGCTGAAAACTCTACCTCTGATCCAGTGTTAAAGACTCTGGCAAGTATTCTGAAGGAGCAAGATTTGTTCAGAACAAGAATGGACAAGCAAGATGAAGTCACTTCCAACATTCATAATGCACTTGCTCAGATCCTTCAGAGGTTCCTTCCTCCTCCTCAACCTTAGACACTCCTTAGGCCACCCATTAGTTTCCTTTGTCCTTTTGTGTTTATCATATTTTTGTTTAAATTACCTTTTTGATTATGACCAAAAGGGGAAGTATTAATGGAAAATTATTTTGATAAGACTGCCTTGTCTCTGAATCATAGCTCTAACATTCTAACTTTTAAATTGCACATAATTTCTTCTTAGAATTTCTTTTCAGGAATGATATTGAAAATCTGGTAAACATGACTATCTGATGCATATGATAAGAACCAGACGTGAACCATCTCAGATCTTATAAGACCAATCAGGCTCTGGTATATAATTAGACTCTATTATTCTGAATCTGATAAGATCTTTATAATCAGGCTATGGTATCCCAAATTTGGTAAGATTTTTAAGTCTTAGATTCAGGGGGAGCTTGATAAAGGGAAGTTATTTCTAAACTTATCTATGTCACTTCCTTTTGATTACTTTTGTACGAAATTGTTTCATCAAAATACATTATTTTTTCATTATCAAAAAGGGGGATATTGTTAGAACAAGATTTGGTTTTGCTCATTATCCCTATGTTTTGATAATAAAAAAGTAGTATTTGTGTGAGAACAATTTTGGTACTCTAATGTTTGTTTTTCTGAAGGATTAACAAACAAACTCTGACTCTGATAGAAACCATATACAATGAAAATCGGTTTGACCAAAAGTCGATTTTGCGCCAAAGAAGCAAGTCTGCTTCTGACCTACTCACATTCAGAAAGATTCTAAGAAGATAATATATTGTTACTGCAATGCTCTCTTGGATTCTAGTTCTGAGCGTGAATCTGATGTCTTACCTCTGAAGGATGTCTAGCTTCTGAAGTCATTATCTTCTGAAGACTAGGTGCTGAAGACTCTGAAGACAAGGTTCTGCTGAATAAAGTTCTGAAGACTCTGAAGACTTGAGTTTCTGAAGATTAAGTGCTGAAGACTCTGAAGACAAAGTTCTGTTGAACAACGTTCTGAAGATTCTGAAGACTTAAGTTACTAAAGACTAAGGGTTCTAAAGATTAAGTGCTGAAGACTCTGAAGACAAAATTCTGCTGAACAATGTTTTGAAGACTCTGGAGACTTAAGTCACTAAAGACCAAGGGTTCTAAAAACTAAATGCTTAAGACTCTGAAGACAAGGTTCTGGTGAACAAGTTCTAAAGACTCTGAAGACTCAAGACTCTGAAGACCTAATGATCAACTCTTCTACTCATGCTTCAATCATCTCTATTCAGAAGCCTCTGATATACAAAAGATAAGATCAAACGTTTACGAGGGAAATATTACATAGTACATATCAACCATATTATATTCCACTACCATTCCACTACCCTGATTTAGTTGTGCAAAGGACAACTTTTCTGTATAATTTTCATCCCTGCGTAACGACATTATTTCAAGTCGCCAACTATCTAAAGGATATTCCTAATCTGCCCTCCAACAGATCTTTTTCTGGCTATATAAAGACTTGATTACTTGAAGAAAACAAGAAGAATGAATGACAAGAATTAAACGATCTATGAAGAACTGAAGCAACGGAATTGAAGCACCACAATACAAAGAAAGAACATTGTTCATACTGTAAAAGTTTCTTTAAGTCATTTGAGCTATTACTAGTGTTTATATTAGCTTGTGTAGAAGCAATTCATTGTAAACATTTTTGTTCAAATAGTTGTTTGTAGTTCCTTAACAGACCAGTTAGATCAGAATTCTTAAGAAGAGACGGTTAGTCTTTTGGTTATTAGTCACCAACAGTTGCTAGTGTAGTATAATTAGTTGATTATAGTGGATTAAGTCCTTGTGTATAAGTGAGAAATCACCTTGGCGGGTGGACATGATTAGCTTGATAGTTTTCAAGTGAACCAGGATATATCGTGTGTCTTTCCCTTTTGTTAGTATCTTTGTGATCTTTGTTTTAGTTTCACAAAAAGCTTTCACTGTTGAAAACCCAATTCAGACCCCCTTTCTTGTGTTTTCTCACACCTTCAATCTAGAGGCCATAAGCAATGGGAAATGACAGTTTCTTGGAACACTAGGGGGCTGGAAAAGGTAGGCAAATTAAAGGAGATTAGCTCCCGTCTCCATGAGTTGAAGCCTATTATTATGATATTGATATAAACAAAGGTGAGAAAAAGAAAAGCTAGTAGTATTCGTGGAAAACTTCACTTAAATGATCACTATATGGACAATTATAGTGCTCATGATAATGGCAGAATATGGATAGGTTAGGATAATAATAGGGTGGAGGTTCAGTTCATTCTATGTTTCAGCCAATATATTGATTGTAGGGTGAATGATATGAATGGTGTGTTCAAGTACTGGTTAGCTGCAGTCTATGCACATAATCAACTTGAGAATAGAAAGAAGTTGTGGGAAGACATTGAGAGTTTTCATAGTACTCAACAAAGGCCTTGTGTGTGATTGGTGACTTCAACAATGTAGCTAAGGCTCAAGATCAAATTGGTGGGAAGATTGTCACTGAATCTGAATATAGGGATCTTTAGAATATGATGGTTACTATAGGACTCAGTGAAATGGATAGCTGTGGAGATTACTTCACATGGTTCAATAAGCACACAATTGGGCCAATTTACTCCAGAATAGACAGATTGATAGCTAATATGGACTAGTTCCAACATCATCTTGATACTAGGCTGCACATCCTCCCTCCAAATGTGTCTGATCATGCTCTGCTGCATGTGACTGACAACAATGTTGAGAGAAGGCCAAAAAGATAGTTTAGGTTCAGTAACTGCCTTGTTGATATAGATGGTTTTGAGGAAGTGGTGAGGAGTAGCTAGGAGCAACCTATCAGGGGGGATCCTATGGTTGTTCTTTGGAGGAAACTCAAAAGAGTTTAACATGTTTTAAGAAAGTCTAGTAGACCTCACAATCTAAAGCAGAAACTGGTAAAGGCTAGAGATGAGCTTAAGAAAGCCCAAGGAGATCTTACTAACAATAGGTTTAATGTCAATGTCATTGAGAAGGACAAAACCTACACTGAAGAGGAGATCAAACTTAATGATCTTGAGGAGAAAACTCTTTTGCAAAGATCTAAAGTGGAGTGGCTTAAGATGGGAGATGGAAACAACACATACTTCTATGCCTCTATTAAAGCTAAAAAAGTCTCAAAAGTATGAGAGGTATTCAAACTACTGATGGCACTGTGCTACAGAATCATGAGGACATAGAAAGAGAGATCTTGGATTTCTATGGTCAGCTTATGGGGAAGGAAGATAATAATCTTCATCACATAGACATTGAGGCCATGAGGAAGGGTCCCTAGTTGAATATGGAGCAAAGAGGATCTCTTATTAATAGCATCTTAGAGCAAGACATCCTAAAATCCCTCAATGGTATAGGTGATCTTAAGGCTCCAGGGCTTGATGGATATGGCTCATAAATCTTTAAAGTCTGTTGGCACATAATCAAAGGTGATGTCATTGCAGCTGTTAGAGAATTTTTTGAAACATGTATTATCTATAAGCCTTTCAATAGCACTTTAGTCACTCTAATTCCTAAGGGAGATGCTCCAAATGGGAATTAAGGACTTTAGACCTATTGCAGGCTGTACTACCTTTTATGAAATCATCTCAAGAGTCATGACTGAGATATTGGGAAAGGTGTTACCTAGTATTGTGAATAGCAGTCAGGATACTTTTGTTCCTAGCCAGAACATTCACAATCACATCCAGTTAGCCTATGAGTTGTTGAAGGGCTACAATAGGAAAGATGGAACTCCTAGAATAATGATGCAAATAGACCTCCAGAAGGCCTATGATATGGTCAACTGGAAGGCTATGGAATGTATCCTAAAGGAGATTGGTATACCTAGACAATTTATCTGTTGGATTATGGCTAGTGTAAGTACTGTTTCTTATAAGTTCAATGTGAATGGTGAGCATACAAAGTTCCTGCAAGCCAAGAGAGGGATTAGACAGGGTGATCCTATATCACTTATTCTCTTTATCTTAATCATGGAGTATATGAATAAGATCATGTACAAAATGCGACTGAATCACAATTTCAATCATCATGCAAAATGTGAAAAGTTGTGCCTCACCAACATGATTTTTGCTAATGATGTTTTGTTATTCTGCAGAGGAGATACCATTTTTGTTAAGATAATGCAGGGTGATTTTAAGACCTTTACTCAGTCTATAGGCCTTATTAACAATCTAAGAAAAAGCAAGATTTATTATGGTGGCATTGATACCAGGCAGAAAAGACTGTTGTAGAATCTTACTAGTTTTCAAAAGGGTGAACTTCATGTAAAGTACTTAGAAGTGCAAATCACTTGTAGCGAATTGACTATACATCAATATCTGCCTTTGATTGAGAAGATTGTAGGGAGGATGCATCATTGGACTACAAAAGTTATCAATTATGCTGGGAGAATTCAATTGGTAAAGAGCATAATTAGAGCCATAGCCCAACACTGGATGTAGTGTTTTCCATTCCCTAAAAGTGTAACCAAGAAAATTGAAGTTATTTGTAGAAGCTTCAGTTGGACAGGCACGCATGAGAAGAGTAGGAAGAGCCCCTTGGCCTTGAAAAGAGTGTGCAGTACCTATGGTCAAGGGGGCCTTCAAATCATCAACCTTCAAAGCTGGAATTATGCTTTGGTGATAAAATGCCTGTGGAATCTGAGCAGAAAAGCTAATAATTTATAGGTGAGATGGATGCATGGTTACTATCTTAAGGATAAGGATGTTATGGATTATGAGATTAAATTCCATAACACTTGGATATTCAAGGGTATATTAAAGCAAAGAGTGAAGATTGTGGACATGCAACAACATTGGAATGTAGCTCTGCAGCAAAACAAGTTCAGAGTGACAACCTTTCACAATACCATGATTGAAGATGAGAACAAAGTTCCTTGGAGTAAAATGGTGAAGTATAACAAGGCTAGACCTCGTGCAGTTGTATGCCTTTGGATGGCCTGCCATGGGAAATTGGCCACAAGGGACAAATTATGGAGGTTTGGTTTAATCCAAGATAGTGTGTGTGTGCGCTATGTAAGAATGAAGAGGAGTCAATTAACCATTTATTCTTCAGCTTCAACAAAACTGAACCAATTTGAAAGAATATTTTGAACTGGTTGGGAATTAATCATAGCCCAAAACATTGGGAGGATGAATTAGTTTGGCTTATTAGAGCAGCTAAAGGAAAAAGATGGAAATCTACTTTGTTAAAGATGACAATGGTAGAAATAATGTACAACATATGGAGGATGAGAAATAACATGTGTTTCACTGGCAATGTTGATAATAAATGTATAGATGATAGAATTAAAGATAGTATAGTCTATAGAGGGTGGCATAACACTAAGATTAGACACCAGCTTGCTAGAATAATGATGTAAGTATTAGTCTCTTTTGTCCTTTTGGTAGGTTGGATCCTTGTGATCACCTTGGTTTGTAATTCTGTTTTTGAATTAATATGTATTCTTTGATTAAAAAAAACTTAATTTTTAAATAAAGGATTATTTTTCTAAACTTTGACCAAAATTTTACTATTTTTTAATTAACAAATTTCTTTGTTGTATATTTTAGTATGATTCAAGATATATCTTATTTCGGTGTAACAACATAATAATTAAATACAAATATATTTAAATTATATATAAATATATTAATATGTATAAATATTAATATTTTTAAGTTTACTATATATATATATATATATATATATATATATATATATATATATATATATATATATATATATATATATATATATATATATATATATATATATATATATATATATATATATATATATATATATATATATATATATATATATATATATATATATATATATATATATATATATATATATATATATATATATATATATATATGTGTGTGTGTGTGTGTGTGTGTTTCTTCAGCTTCAACAAAACTGAACCAATTTGAAAGAATATTTTGAACTGGTTGGGAATTAATCATAGCCCAAAACATTGGGAGGATGAATTAGTTTGGCTTATTAGAGCAGCTAAAGGAAAAAGATGGAAATCTACTTTGTTAAAGATGGCAATGATAGAAATAATGTACAACATATGGAGGATGAGAAATAACATGTGTTTCAGTGACAATGTTGATAATAAATGTATAGATGATAGAATTAAAGATAGTATAGTCTATAGAGGGTGGCATAACACTAAGATTAGACACCAGCTTGCTAGAATAATGATGTAAGTATTAGTCTCTTTTGTCCTTTTGGTAGGTTGGATCTGGTTTGTAATTCTGTTTTTGAATTAATATGTATTCTTTGATTAAAAAAAACTTAATTTTTAAATAAAGGATTATTTTTCTAAACTTTGACCAAAATTTTACTATTTTTTGATTAACAAATTTCTTTGTTGTATATTTTAGTATGATTCAAGATATATCTTATTTCGGTGTAACAACATAATAGTTAAATACAAATATATTTAAATTATATATAAATATATTAATATGTATAAATATTAATATTTTTAAGTTTACTATATATATATATATATATATATATATATATATATATATAATATACTATAAATGTATTAATGGATATCAATAAACAATAATTAATAATATAATAAAGGATGAAACTCATTAGAAATAATATAACATAACAATTTAGAAAAAGTCTTGTTATATTTCAAATTTAAAACGCATATAATCAATAATGGGTTAAACTCATTGTACATGATGCATCAAATCAGTTCATAACAGAAGTAAACGACGATTAATAAAGCTTAAGCAATCAAAATAAAATTGTATCGATTGAACACAAACCTTCCATTGAAAATTATTGTCGTACACATTACCATTTTTATCACTTAAGTCATATCTTCTTTCAACAACAATTTCTTTTTAGCTGTATAGTCAGATCGAATAAAGACTTGAATTCGATCACCCTGCATGTATGACATAAATCAGTACAACATGTAAATATAAATGCATGAAGATTTCGGATAATGCGAACAATACAGTAAGTAATATAATGAAATATATCAGACCTTGACATCCGTTACAACCATCTCCATGTGTTATATGCCCTTGCTATTAACGATACTTCATATATCAATAACACGAACAACCAGACGCCATATTTCTTTAGAATCATCTATATCACCCACAAAATCGAATATGCGTGACATTGCTCCTGAAGATTAAAAAAAAATGAAACCTGTTAGTAAATGATATTGATTTGGGAAAAAATTAGTTTGGGAAGAAGAAAAAAAATGTCAAACCTTTACTCTTTTAAGCGACTGCAAGGCTGAAAACTATGGCACTATAGAGGAAAGACATGTAGGGTTTGATTTATATTGCCATAACTTAGAATCCAAAAGGGCAATTGTTGATACGTTAGAATTCAAAAGTGCATAAATTGATACGTTGAATCATGACAATACTAAAGATAAATAGTAATTATAATTTTTGAAAAAACTCAAATATGACAAAATACAAATGTATATTAATATACTATAAATGTATGTTAATATACTATAAATGTATTAATGTATATCTTGAATCTTCGATAAACTATTATATTGTAAAATAAAATTTGTTATTAAGAAATATTAAAAATTTTATATATATATATATATATATATATATATATATATATATATATATATATATATATATATATATATATATATATATATATATATATATATATATATATGTATATATATATATATATATGGATATAAATGTGTATAAATATACTATAAATGTATTAATGAATATCAATAAATAATAATCAACAATATAATAATGGATGAAACTCATAAGAAATAATATAGCATAACAAGTTAGAAAATGCCTTTTTATATTTCAAACTTAAAATGCATATAATCAATATTGGGTTAAACCCATTATACATGACGCATCAAATCAGTTCATAACATAAATAAACAACTGTTGCACCCCAAATTTTACCCTCATATTTTTCTTGCATTGCCTGTATAGCATATCATGTATGTCATTGTTCCTAATACCCAATTTATCAGCTGAAATAAACTTGTCGGAATTACAGCCGGATCGGTCAAACTAAAAGTCAACTTTGTGAAAAATCAGCAGACGAAAAATTTTAAAATCGAGCCTGCAAACGTCAGTCATATTAATCTACGTTTGTCGTAGTTTAACCTGGCGTGTTCAATTAAATTTTTCGACCACTTTTCGGTCGCATTTTGGACAGTTTAAGTCGTTTTATTGAGTAAAATTTATTTCAAAATCTGACCAAACGGTATTTTTCTGAGTCGTATATTTTGCGTTGATCATTTTAGTGTACTCGATTTATTTTTTCGAGCACTTGGGCGTACGACTTTTATTTATTTGAGTTTCGGTTATTTTTATTTTTGTCTAAATAGTTAGAATAAATAAAAAAATAGAATTATTAGTTTTAATTTTATTTTATTTAGTTTTAAATAATTATTTAAGTTGGGCTTTAAAATGGGCATTAGGTTAGAGTTAACCCTAGTTTGATACCTATATAAACATAAGTTGTATTTCAGAAAAGGGGGAAAAACTTCATCAACATCATAAATCAAGAACAGGTCATTAGAAAGAGGAAGAAGAGAGTTTTGAGAAAAATTCAAAAGATCCAACAACAAGGATCATCCAACGACGGTCGTGGATCCTTTAGAGTCTCACTACCACCGACGGACAACAACCAAGCAAAGAGCATCAGAAGAAGCTTCATCACCGGCCAAGAACACCACCACCTCGCCGTCGAAACACCCAAAACGTAAGATTATGATATTAATGAGTTTGGTTTTGTTTTATTTGGTTTCAGGTATGAACAGACGAAGGCGAAGCAGGAGAGAAGAGGAAAGTTTCAAAAAGGAGTCATGGAGGAGTCGCCGCCGGTTGGGAAGAAGAAGGGAAAGGGTTTTTTCCCAAACCCTAAAGAAGGGAAAGGGTTTTTTCCCAAACCCTAAAGAAGGGAAAGAGTTTTTTCTCAAATCCTAAAGAAGAGAAAGAGTTTTTTTCCAAATCCTATAGAAACAACACAGCAACACGATCCACCTCTCCCCACTCTTATTAATTCCTTTTCTTTTTTCTTTTTCTTTTTCATTTATTTTCATTTATTATATTATTTTGTTATTTATTTTATCTTATTTTTTTAATAGTTGTAATTAGTAATTAGTATGTTAGTTTTAATTTATTAATTGACACTTTCATTTACTAAACCCAAACTATAACTTAAAAATCATTTCCTAAAACTAAACACCATTTTCTTAAAGTTAAAAATCATTCTTAAAACTTAATACAAAAATAATATTTATTTTTAACAGATTTAAATTTTAATAAAAATTTAATTAAACCCATTTATTTTAAAACTTAATAACTCTTTTTATAATTTCAAAAACTTAACCTTTTTATAATTTAGAACTAACACCTTTTAATAACAAAACTAATATTTTTTTTTAAAATTAAAATAAACCTTTTTAAAATGAACTTAACCGTGTTTTTTTCTAAAAACCTTTATTAAAATCTAATACTTTCTTTTTCAAAATAAAGATAATAATTTAATTATTAAAATTAACTAAAAAAAATCTAACTCTTTTCTCTAAAATTAACAATTAATTTTCTCCTTTTCTAATTTAAAATCCTCATGAAAATCTTTTTAGAATTATAAAACTTTTGTTCCAAAATTCCAACCTTTCTTAATTTTAAATTTCCTAGTCCTTTTGCCTTTAATTCTTAATGTTTGTTGTCTAATTTAATCCTAACGTCTGCCCATTTAATTTTTGTCTAATTTTATGTTGTTCCTAACACTATTTCTTATTCGTCCGTGTTTGCTAACCTTTTATTTATATAATTATTTTTATGGTTGTAACTTATGCGAGGGTATCGTCACTTTTATATTTCTTGCATTTTTTTGGGTTTGTAATTTACGCGAGTAATCGTCACATTGCAATTTTCTTTACTGTTTTCATATTTTCTTCTATTTTAACTGCCATGTAATAATTCGTCATTCACATAAATTTACCGTCAAAACCTTCCGAAGGATTAGGTCTAGCCGTTTGACCGCCGAGTCAATAACCCTAATCTTTGACCATTTCAAAACCCTAATCTTGCCTAGGTGTTTTGCC